GGCCACTGCACTCCAGTCTGGGTGACAGAGTGAGACTCCAACTCAAAAAATAAAAAAGACAGCAGGACTTATTGAGAGGACAGAAAATCTCCCAGAGTGGGAGGAGCCTGAAGGGGTCACCCTTCTTTATTTTTTAATTTATTTTCCGTTTTTTCTTTTTTTGAGTTGGAGTCTCACTCTGTTGCCCAGGCTAGAGTACAGTGGTACACTCACAGCCACCCCAGCATCGACCTGTTGGGCTACAGCGATACTTCCGCCTCAGCGTTCCAAGTAGCTGGAACTACAGGCACGTACTACCATTCCTGGCTAATTTTTTATTTATTATAGAGAAGAGGTCTCACCAAGTTGCCCAAACTGGTCTCGAACCAGTGGGCTCAGGCTATCCCCTCACTCTGGCCTCCCAAAGTGCTGGGATTACTGGTTGAGCCACCCTGTCTGGCCTGTTTTTTTAATTTCTTAAGAGAGACACATAACATACTAAGTCGGAGACTTTCTTCTTTTCCAGTGTAAGTATTTAAGGCTTGACATTTCTCTCCAAGAGCCACTTTTGATATGTCCCACAAGTTTTCATTTGGTTTTAGATATTTCACATTTCTGTCATAATTTCCTCCTTAAACCCAAAAGTTATTTAACAGGTTTTGTAGATGTGTCTCTTGCTCTTAACCTCTGAGTTAACTGGATAGTCCTCCTCTGGAGTTTGCTGGGGCTTTCTTCAACGGCCTGTTCCCCAGTGACTGGCGTGTGGTCCTTTGTAACCGTTTCATGGGCGCTGGAGAAAAAGATGTATTCTCCGGTTCGGACAGGTTTATTCACTGTTTTGTTCTGGTTTTCTGCATATTCTTGCTGACTTGTGTCTGTTAAGCCTGTCAACAATGAGAGAAGTGTGTTGAATGTCTCAGGGTAATGGTGAATTTACCAATTTTTTTCTCATAGTCCTGTTACTTTTCTTCTTTTAAAAGTCAGTACTGCAAGCAAACATCATTCGAGAACGTTTTGCTTCATCCATTGCAAGGCTACCTAATTAGATGTACACATGTTTTGAGTTGCTCCAGCTTGGTGGTGGAACCTTTCATCATTGATCTGTGACTCCCTTCATGACTAATGATGTCCGCGCTTTCTTTTGGTTAGTTTTGCCCGATAAACCACATACCACCCCTTTCCTTGCTACTCCTTGAGTCCTTATGCCTTGGGCCTCTCTCTTATACACAAATCGGGATTTTAAAAATCCAGTCTGGATGGTTTGCTGGCATTTATACTTACTGTACTTATTGATGAATTTTCTACTTTTTTCTATCATCTTAGTTTGTAATTTAGTTTGTCTCACTTTTTCTGTTTCCTACTTTAAAAAACTATGTATGTAAAAGTAGCTAATTAGACAAAAATATGAGTGTGTCCCCTTAGCCTTTGTATCCCCCTCCCGCCCACCTTCTGTATGTTGATATTGTCTAGAGACTTTATTTCTAGGGTTTTATGAATATATGTTCTTTTTCCTTTGGCCTTAGCATGTTGAAACAAGAACATATATTCCAAAGGCATTTGCTCACCTTCAACTATCAGTTTTCTGTTTCTGTCTGTATCTCCTAGAGATCTCAGGTGCTGCTGTATAGAAGCAAGCACAGCTTGTAGCAGGAAAATGGCAGGAAGACGCAAACGCCAAATTAACAATTGCTTCCCCCCCCCTTAGTCTCCCAAGGCCTCCTGCCCCTGGGCATTTCCACCATCCCACAGACACCAGTTTAGAATGGCTGCGCTGCCCCAGAACGGTCTGTTGTCTTGGTGTTTACCCTGTAACTTGGCACTTTTTCCCTCTGTGGCTTCTCGAAAATTGATCTTGTGGGTGACACCTGGTAATATCACGGTGTTAGCATCTTGGTAGGAAGAACTGAAAGTATTGATCTCATTGAATCCTCCCCCAAATCCTAAGAGATGGATAAGGAAATGGAGGGGCAGAAAGTTTGCCTCATGGAAAGTGATGATTTTAAACCACATCTCTTTGACCCCAAAACCCATGCCCTTTTTTCCCCTTTGAGTTGGAGTCTCACTCCGTCCCCCAGGCTGCAGGGCAGTGGCTCCACCTGCCGGGCTCCAGCGATCCTTCCGCCTCCGCCTTCCAAGGAGCCGGAACTACAGGCGCGCGCTACCACGCTTGGCTATGTTTTATTTTATTGTGGAGGCGAGGTCTCGCCGAGTTGCCCGGGCGGGTCTCGAGCCCACGGGCTCAGGCAATCCACTCGCC